TGAGAAGTCCCCGAAATGGGGATTTAGGGTTTAGGGTTTTACGGAAATGCAAGTGATCGTTTTTATAGTTTAGGATAGGATAGGATAGGGTTGGGTTTAGGCTCCAAACATAAACGACACCGTTTTTATTCGAGTGCTGGTGTGTATAAACCCACACCAGTGACGTTCGGTCCTTTTTGCTTTTTCAAAGGCTGGCCCGTCATAGACTCGGAATTTTGTCAAAACTAGTCTGGCCCAAATCAACATTTGTTTGCTGCCAAAGAGACACCAAGCATTTCACACCATCAAATTTGGCCAACCATAAATTAGAAATTTTTTAAAGAAAAATTGACAATGCGAATATGTAGGGGACGGGGATCAAACTTGAGTGTATGGAGGCGGGCACACTGCCTTGACGAACCAGTCTAACCCACATCTGCTATAAATTTAATTATTTACCCAAAAAAAAATGGAAGAAACAATTCGCTACGCACTAGGCAAGGTGAGGTCGAATTTACCACCCTCATATCCATCCCCGATTTCCCGCCTCTAGACACGAATTTTATATTAGATATGCATGTCTCTAATATAAAATTATAACACACAAAAAGAGTAAAATCATAAAATAAAATAAAAACTAAATACATAATTTTCTTTTTAATAATTCGAGATGGCAAAGAGGAAAATAATGTGTAGCGGCAAAACCCTGCAAGCAATGTTTATTAGAATCAATAATGAACGACTAACAACCGTTGATCAAGCTTATAACCAAGATCTAGAAAGACTCGGAAGTGGCCTAAAGTACTATGCTCCCTTATTTGGGCTGACACAACTCTTGAGTTGTTAAAGAGCAAAAACCAAAATTACCAAGAGCATGGACAAAAGTCACATAAGCATGAAGTAGAAAGAAGGTAGAAGATAAAGATGATATGAATGAAAGTGGTCCTTGCCTCCCTCCAATAATTCCCTAATAGGTCTGAACAACCTTCGGGCCCCAAACATTGCTACAAACAAACAAACACAACAAAACCTTTTATCAAAGAGGTTTTTTTTTTTGGATTCAAGAGGTGTCTGAGTTGTCTGTTGCATACTAAGAAATTAGATTGGACGTCTTGATGCATACAATGGGACTTTTTATATAATCCGCTTTTTTCTATAATGCTTTTCAACCTGAAACAGTAATTTCCAATACGATGATGCCACGCTGCTGCTCATGAAAACTGACTTTTTAGAATTGGAAAAAGGAGCTAGGCAAAAGACAAAGGTATTTTTGCTTTCCTTCGCACCATCATTTTCTGAGTTTGTGTTGTTGTGTTCATGATTGAAAAGAATGCTTAAATCAAATTCAAAATTCAATCAAATATTTATCTCTAGTATGGAATTCTGATTGTGGAAGCAAATTATCTCACTCTAGGTCAAATAATTAGGCCAACCAATTTGGAAATTATTTGACCTAATTGGGAGTTACCTAGCTCAATTGGGAATTATTTGAATTAATTAGGAGGTTATTTGATTTAAATTAGATGTCTTTGATTTATGTCTTAATTAGGGATTTGATTAAATCCCTAACCCCTAAATACACCAACCCCACCAACCTCGCCAAATTAAAGCCTCTGAGACCCTCTATAAATATTGGCTACACATGAGGATAGAGGTACGTCCGAATTCCTACTGAAACTCCGCATAAATTATTTCTCATAAACCCTTCTCCCTTCCTGTTCTTTCTCTCTCTCACACAAGGCTCCGGCCACCACACACGGCTCCGGCCACCCGGTTTTCCTTGTAACACCCAACCTAACTTAGGCATCGAAGGGCCTTTGGCCAACACCCCCCGGGTGTGGTCCTCTTATTGCTATTCATTTTGCAGGAAGAAAGGAAAGCGGAGAAGACGAAGGAATCTTGGGCGAATATTCTTGTGGGGAAATTTTCTCCCACACTGATGAGAGCAAATGCCTATGTTATTGAAAGCAACAAATCAAGTCAACTCCAAATTTCTCTCCAAATAATTAGTTTCTTTACAGGACATGGCTGTAATCTTGGCATGTATTACTTTCCTATTGTATTTAGACAACTTGTATACATATAAATATGTAGTACTTACAATTATTCTAATACCAAAAACATGTTTTCTACATGGTATTAGCTTAAACCCTAGGATTATCTCCTCTTGATCCTACCTCTCATTTTCTCCTCACCGACAACCCCTATGGCGTCCACCGATTTTTCCTTTTCCTCTTCCACTATGCCCTCCCTCCCAAACTCCTCCCATTTCATCAAACTTATCAATTCTAATTATCTTCTCTAGTTTCGCCAAATCAAATCATTTCCAATTGGCCATGATTTATAGAAATTTGTTGATGGTACTCATACCCAACCCTCTGCTACTATTACTCTTCCCATCACCGATACAAATACCATCACCACTGCCACTCTCATTCAACCTAACCCCGCTCATGCCCTTTGGTATCAACAAGATCAACTCCTAATTAACTATCTCACAAGTGCTCTCTCTGAGCCTATTCTTCATCCCACAGTTGGTTACGACACTACCTGTGATATTTGGGATTGTCTCCAACACCATTTTTCTCAATCTTCTCACGTCAATAAGACCACTCTCTGTTTTTAGCTTTGATACACAAATCTAAACCCTAATATGAAAAATTTATCCCGTTATGAAATATATGCATACAATACGTACGAATTCGCACTATAGAAAAAAAAAAAATTATAATTATGGTTCATAATACATACAATATATGGGAGAATAGACATTATAGTTGTTGGTAGATTTTTGTGGCTTAGATTTGGTAGGTAAATGGAGTTCATATTAGTTGGTCGGCCATATATAAATGTTGGCCTTTTCTTTCCTCTAAGTTGAGGGTATGACAAATTATTGTTGCTTTTCTTTGTTTGATCTGAGAGATGAGACTCGTCTTAACTTGAGGGAAGACAAAGATGAGAAATTTAGTCGAGAAAAGTACCCAAACCATCATTCCAAGTCACATGGTTTTTCCAAACACATACACATCATCTCTCCTTTACTCAACTTTCACGGTTTGACAACTCACAAACGTGTTCAATTGTAGATCACTTATTCAATTGTAAAAATAAATATCTTTTAAGAAAAACAAACGAGATCTATATGGCTCATGAATTTGACTTATAAAAAAAATCTTTTCAATCTTCTTACCTTCCGATGCGAAATTTAAAATTTTACAGACCAATAATGTGGTATAACGGGATGATTTTGGCACTCCTCAACCGCTCACAAATAAGGAGTGCATCATTACCCATAATTTATTTTACTATGACACTATGGTTGTAGAAAAGTGGTCCTTGGCCTTTTGAAGAATAATATCTTGAATATCTCTTTTATAAATTACAACGAAGAATCAGCTTGATGGGCTAGGAGATTTTTCCATGGTTTTGGACCACACTGATATTGGCCCCTCCCTCCCTCCTATGCATATATACAAAAATAATGGGTAAATAATTATGCACCATGCTGTGTTTAGTGTGGAGGCCAGAAAATGAGTGAAACAAAAACAACAATGAACAACTTGGATATCATGCATTATTACAGCACTGTTGTCATTTTCTTATATGATCTTATTAAGACTGGTCTATAAATACACACCGCAAAACCCATAAATTTTGTTCTCTTTCCCATTATTGACGCTTACATTTTTTTCAACAAATTGTTGCGTTACATTTAAAAACAATTCAACATTTTGATTTATGTGTGATTTAGGGCTCATTTGGAACGGTTGTTATATTAAGCACTTATTGTTATAAACGTTTTCATTACAATAACGTCAAACTTTTTATTAAAAATTCAAGTGCTTTTTCAAAAGTACCTGGAAGTGATTAGTGCTTCTCTAAAAAAACATTTTTATGATCCATAAGTATTTTTAAATTGTTGTACTAAGTGTAGTCATAAACGTTTTTAGTTGTTAAAAAAATGCTTTCACGCCCATCTAGAAGCACTATGAAAACTGAAAATGTAAAATGACAGTTATAGAATTGTTTAAAAAAAAAAAAAAGTAAACTACCGAATTGCCCCGCAAATTATCACTTAATTTTTTCGATTTCCCCTCAACTATTTTTATTCAATTAAGAATACAAACTAATTTTTTTGGCCAATGTACCCCTACCGTCAAATTTCCAAACATTTCATCTATTTCTTCGTCAATATTGAGAGCATAGTTGTCCTTTATCGTAGGAGAGAGAGAGAGCTGAGAAGAGGGAGGGGACTGGATTGAAGGTTCGTACCAGAAAAAAAAAAACAAAAAAAAAAAAAACAAGAAGAAGAAAGAAGTTACAGAACCGTATGGAACAGAAAAACGAAGGTGGTGGTTGCATTGAATTTGAGGGAGAAGGAAGGAAAGAGGGAGAAGGCTGCGGAATGGACAATTTTGCCTTTAATATTGACGGAGAAATGGATGAAATATTTGGAATTTGAGGGTATGGGGTTACTGGCGAAAAAAGTCAGTTTGTAAAAACAAAGTTACGGGGGAAATCGAAAATTAGATAATAGTTTGGGGGGCAATTCGGGAGTTTACTAAAAAAATCTACAAAGGGTATACAAAAGTGCACAATCGTCCCATAAAAATTAGCACAGTAAATCACTAAAAAGGAACAAATATTTTAAACAAAACTTTAACCTTTTTTTAAAAAGGTTTTATTATTCCCTTTAAATAATAAAACAAATCGGGAAAACAAAAGGAGGCTGCTTTCGTGAGCCATGACAAGCGCCTGCGGCACAGAGGGCTCGTGAGCCGTGAACAGTGACCCATTATAATTTATTTACACCAACAAATAATTAAAATAAAATCCGTACACTCGAAAAACCCCGTGTCCCAAGCCTATATCAACCGTTGTTAATATTATTTTACTTTTTATAGTTTTTTAGAAAACGTTTCCCTTTCGAGTAAGTTTCTCGCGTAATTTATTTTCCAGGAAAAAAAAATACATATCAAAATAGAAAACCCAACTGTATAAAAGCCAAACCCAAATATCATCTCAATTCGGTGTGAGATTTTCTTCTTTTTCTATGTTTCTCTTTGTCTTTTTAAGTCTCTCTCTCTCTCTCTCTCTCCATCTCTGAGTCGCTTCAGCTTTACAATAATGTCATAGCTAGCAAGTTAGCAACCTTTCAACTATTTCTTCTTCCTCAGTCTTTTGGTGTAAATATCATTCCAGGGCCTCCACCAATGTTTCATTTTTCTTCTTTTCCTTTAAGCGTTGATGGGGGAAGATGTTCTTAAGCAGTGCTTGAACTAATAGTAGCTAGCTGTAAATTTGAGCTTCCAAGTGTGTTTCTTTGTAGTTGCTGAAGCTTTTTTCTTTCTGCTGGAGACTGGTCTCTGCTGGATTTTTGCTGACTCTTCAGCTTGAAAGAGCAGCTGGGTTTTCTTAATTCGTCGAAATAAAGTGTCTTTGCCTTTTATATGTTAGATCTTCACCTCTTCTTCTTTTGATTATTTTAACTTATTTTGTGTATTCTCTCTCTCTCTCTCTGTTTGCAGACTGTATGTCTCTCTCCAATTTTAAATTTACTTCTCTCTAAAGATATTTATTAGTTTATTTAATGGCAAAGCTTGTATGTAATGTGTAAGGTAGCAAATTATATATACTTGGCTGAGATCTGATTGAAGTTATTTTTGTTTCTTAAATTCTTTATCTGCCTGAGATTTACAAGGTTGCACCCTTTTGTTAATGTACTTATAAATTTATGAATTTTGTAGAGTTTCTCAGTTATTTAGGGTGTAAGGCATTCTTATATAGTATTAAACACTAGGATTTTGTGGTAACAAAGCTGGTTTGGTTTGCCTTTTAAAGAGTATAGCAAAAAATAAAATTCCAAGCAAGCTTTGGATTCTGTTTTTGTTGCTCAGAATTGAAAACTCTAAGGATTTCAGAATAAAATTTGTCAGATTGGAAATACATCTATTCAGGTTTGGTGTTGTTAGTGTCATTGAAAAGAGGAAGCTACTTAAGCATCAATGCTTGTCATTGGGACGGCAATTCGCCGTTTTGTTGTGGTAAATCATAGCCAGTTTGATAAATGAGTTTTTCTAGGCAACTATTATTAATGAAGCAGTTGGGATCTTCATTGAATTTTATAAAATTGAGTTTTTAATGCAATGTGTTGAAACATGGTACATTAAGTGTTTACCATATGTAGGCTTTCAACTTTCTACATAACTTTGTTTAAGTGTCCGCTTAATCTCTCTCTGATTGTTGCGTGCACTATTTGTGTATTTGCAGGCTTATAGTGGCCAATTTTCCTGACCAATATAGTAGATGAAAGACCCCATAATGCCTTCCAAATTTTGTTAATGATTTGCACTGAGCCTAGTGAAGGAAAAGTTTAGATGAGCGTTTCACAATGCAAAACATATCTATGATCGTTATATTCCTGTAGAAACTTATAATCTAAATGCTTCTAAATTTTGAATAAGTATTATTTTACTGATAGAAGAGATCTAGCTTCTATGAATTTATGTGTTTTCGTTCATAAGTGTTCATGATTTTATTGACTCAAATATGTAAGTGACTTTTTTGTCCTTGATCTTCCATTCCAGGTAAAGACTGCATTAGTTTACATTGCTATTTATAAGTGAATAAATATTGATTCCGCAAACATGACCTTAGCTTGGAAGATACCAGAGTCATTCTGAAGTGTAAAGACATGCCGTCCACCTGCATTCAGCTGAAATGAAGACCTCACAGGTGTCACTTCATAATTTTTCATGTTGTTAGTGTGTCATATCTTGCACATACGACTTTTTACCAATATAAAAGTCCTATTTTGGGATGTGCAGAGCACTCAAGAAATCCAATCATCAAGTCAAGTTATACATGATTCACAAGGTGAAGTCAAAAACCAAACTGCCGAGGCTCCTGCAACAGATTCAGCTTCTGTATCCACTTCAGGCAATGACAGTAAGAAAGTATCACGTCAAGATATCGAACTTGTAAGATATCAAATTCAACCTAATTTTGCAGTCTTTTCTTTCCTTTTTGTACATTTGCTATTTTATTCTCTTTTACTCTTTACTTTTTTTTCCCCAAATAATGTTTGTGAAGTAGCTTGACTAATCTGTTTCTCATCTTTGTGATGGAATATTCTGCAAAATGAACGTTTTAGGTCCAGAATCTAATAGAGCGGTGTTTACAATTATATATGAATAGAGATGAGGTAGTTAAAACCCTCTTGACTCGCGCAAGGATAGATCCTGGATTTACAACTTTGGGTAGGCAACTTAAAACCTATTTATACTGTGATTACTGCCATTACATGTTTATATTGTAAGTTGATTGATTTCTAAAAAGATGATCCTGACGTAGTTGTTTTCCATTAGCTATTGTAGATAGAATGTTCCAGAACTTTCATTTAAAATTTTCTCTCGTTGCCTTTCCTTTGGCATAGGGATCCATGACTCCATGAAGTGGAACCGGACATGTTATGATTATAACTAGACATGTTACTACTACTATACATGACCTTTTCTCTTCTTACAAAGAGAAATTAATGAACAAATATGCAATCTCGAGAAGCTACATGCTTATCATTTTCTTTTCAAAAGTAAGTCGGAAGAAAACGCTGACTTGCTCTTCTTTTTTTTGGATTTTGTTGATTCAGTATGGCAGAAGTTGGAAGAAGAAAATGCAGACTTTTTCAGGGCTTATTACATAAGGCTAAAACTGAAAAAACAAATCATCCTGTTCAATCATTTACTGGAGCATCATTACCATCTCTCAAAGTATAATCCCATGTCTCCAAAGGTTCCTTTGGCCCCTATACAAAATGGGATTCATCCAATGCCTGGTAAGTTTTCTGCTTGCAGTAACATGGTGGTGGAAAAGCATGACTTAATCCTTTTATGGTATTTTTTCCCCTTCAAAAAAGCTCTTTAGCAGTAGCTCTACTTTATCCCCATTACTCCTTTGTTGGATGCATAAGGAAGGAATAGGGATCATAAGTTGGTTTCTCAATGCTAACAGAGCTGTGCTTCCTTCTTTAGAACTTTGGATAAACTCTTGCTTGACTTTAAAAGTTAAAATGTGATTCTAGATAGTGAGTATTAAAGCATTATTGTTTCTGTGAGTTCTATTGTGGGTACAGATCTATATAAGCCTGCGAGTTTGCGGTAATGTGTAATTTGACATTTCTATATAATAATTTTCATAATAGTTGACCCAAAAAAAGAAAGTGCTCACTGTCACTTGTTTGCAGTGCAGTTAACAACTTACCAATGGGATACCCTGTCCTTCAGCAACCTCCAATGCCAGCAGCAGGTCAACCCCATCTTGATTCCATGGGCTGTGGAATATCTAATTGTCATGTAGTTAATGGAGTACCTGCACCTAGCAACTTTCATCCCATGCGGATGAATTCTGGGAATGAGTGAGAATTTGTCCTTTGCCCATTTTCTCTTTAATTACCTATTTAACATGACAGTTAATTTGTTTCCAAAACCATAAAGACTCTTGTGTTCCTCTGGTACCCCCTTTCCCATTCTAATAAGAAATACAATTGTTCAAGCATGTTCTTTTCCCTGGGGAACATGTTTATTGGATGACATTGGCTTGTCATGTGCACCTGTATCCTGTTTTGTTTGATAGAAATGTTGCTAATGGCAGCTGTTTTTTCTCCTTTTTGTAAGTATGATGATGGATTGCAGCGGTGCTGATGTGGTTCCTGTCATTCCACCAAACAGTGCCATGTCATCGATGTCAGAGATTCCTGTAAGTCCTACATCAGTTGCATCCAGTGGTCACTTCCCATTCACCGCGTCAGACATATCAGGAATCGGAGTAGACACATCAACACTTGATACAACATTTACATCTGATGTGGCAAGTTCTGTTGGGTTGCAACTTGCACCGGATGGCGGGGCTGGAAATTCTCGGGATTCTCTGAGATCACTGGACCAGATTCAGTGGAATTTCAGCCTATCAGATCTTACAGCAGATTTGTCAAACTTGGGAGGTAATTTGTAGTGTCGAGCAATTAGCAGATCTACAATTATGTCTGAGATTTTAATTATAATTAGTTGCAAATACTCAATCTAAAAAAGGAAATAGTTGTGAATACATAAAGGCAAGCTAAGTTGCCATTGAAAAGAAAGCGAATAAATTGTTGAAAGCCACACGTGATATCCGTCTAGTCACACTTAAGTTGTCTCCAAGTTATAGCAGGAAGCATTCATGCTAAGTTACAAAAGCTTAGACAAGCTTTCATAACTTCCTCCAAATGCATAGAAGGAAGTGTGCGTTTAGAATCATTGAAACAAATTTTTGAATATTTCCCTTTCCTACTACCTTCTACATTATGTAAATGGTCTTCTGAATAACATAAAACTTCTGTTGCCATGGCAGCATGTATTTACGTTTAAAGATGTTTGAAAGGCTTATAGCATTTCGGTCTTGCATGCCTGGGAAAATATAATGACATGTTGGATCCAAGCATGAATTTAGCAATAAAGCTGCTTTGGAATAATGCTTATATCTAATGGTTTCTTTAATGCGTTGCCTTGATTTTATTTGCAGATTTAGGAGCCTTAGGAAACTATCCTGGTTCCCCCTTTCTGCCGTCTGATTCGGAAATTTTACTTGACTCTCCAGAGCAAGAGGGTATAGGTAATTGGAATTGCATAAGTTATTCTACATGCTTTATTGGTTTTACTGATTTAAGTATTGGTTGGATGTGCAAATACACCCTCAGAAGATCATTAATTACTTTACCTTGCTTCAGTGGAGGAGTTCTTTGTTGATTCTGTCCCCGGGCCACCGTGCTCCCAATCAGACGAGGAGAAACCCTAGACAAAGGTGAGGAAAGTCCCTTTTCACTTTAATTGTTAGGGAATGACAATCAATCAGTTAGAATTTGTTATATCTATTTACTAGGCATTTCAGGGTCTTGTTATCAACAGCTGAATCTTTCTGGATAGCTAGTTTGATCTGTATTAGAATACAGATAGGAAAGTTGTTACATCACTAGCATTTGTAATTTTCTTTTCCCTGAAAAGTATCTGAGAACATTGAGGACCATAATTGGCTTCTTGTCATGTATTTGGATAAATTGGCATCTATTTGCAGCCATAATAATCTGATTGAATGTTACATTGAATTTTCTCCCATTTGTAGGACATTAGAGCAGAACATAATTGATTTCGATTTACTTTCGATGCTACGAAAAATTACATGTTATATGCATTATGTTGGTAATAATAGGACATTAGCTAGAGAACTATTATAGCGATCAAAACCTCATCAAACAACACAGAATTTTGATGGATGCTGATTTATTGTCGATGAATGAGAGCTTAATAAGACTCCCAAGGAAGGTTCAACCTCAAATCTGCTTTTCTTTTTTGGTTTCAACCCCTACTGCCACGCTAATTGCAGAAAATAACTTAACGTGCTTTGGCTGGTTTTATAATTCGTGAATTGGAGAAATTAAATTAGCCTTATTTTTGAGTTTATCACTATTTCTAACAGCGTAAGCGTTAGACTCTCTTGCATCCATGGTTTGCATAACGGAAAACCAATATTTTGGTACAAGTGATATTGGAAGATGAGGGACTTGAACATGAGACTTCGAGTTCGAGGGGGAAAACAATTTTATTATTAAAAAAAAGACGAGGCATTTTCAGATATATATCAATTTAAATTGTAACAGTGAACTGAACTCGTGTGCCATGCATGATGGGTGAAACTTTGCCAAATTTTCAGATTGTAAATCTAAAGACTTGAAAAGAGGAAAAAGGTCCCATGTTTTCAACACCCATATCGCGTGATTATTTGTGTTTTTGCAAATTTTAACACGAACTGAGATTAACAAATAACATATTTTTATTAAAGTGCAAACCCCTTAGTCCTAATTTTAATATTAAAACATTGTTGTATTTTTCTTTTTTCTCCCAATCGAAAGTGTAGTTCTTCGTTATCTTTAACCAAAAAACTTGTGGACAGTGGAAGTGCCTTCTTAAATTGTTAGAATTGACTAATTCTCAATAATTCTCAATCTAGAAAGACTGCCTTTTCACTAATTAAAGCAAACCCACACACAAGACAATTTCTACTAATTTATTTGATAATGAAGCTTACTACATATGTTTTGGGGACAACCATGACATGTTCACATATGGAAAATGAAGTCTTTGAATAAATAGTCTTAAATTCCTACTGTGTTTTGATTACTTTTATTAGTTATTGGAAAGAAGGTTTCCTCTTTTTTTTATTGGGGGAAAGCGCATGGTGGAATCACTATATAAATTTTAGAGTAAATTGCCGTACCCGCATACCCCTTTGAACTTGTGGACAGTTGAAGTGTCTTCTTAAATTGTTAAAATTGACTAATTCTCAATCTAGAAAGGCTGCCTTTTGATTAATTAAAGCAAACCCACACACAAGACAATTTCTTCTAATTTATTTGGTAATGAAGCTTACTTCGTATGTTTTGTGGACAACCATGACATGTTCACATATGGAAAATGAAGTCTTTGAATAAATAGTATTAAATTCTTATTGTGTTTTGATTACTTTTATTAGTTACTAGAAAGAAGGTTCCCTTTTCTATTTTATTTTTCCGGAAAGCGCATGGTGGGATCACTACATAAATTTTTGAGTAAATTGCCATACACCTCTTTGAACCCTCCATTCAAACTTAACTTCTAAACTAAAAAGTGAATCAATTTAACACCGAATTAATTAAATTGGTCAATTTAACCCTTGCTGTTAAATTTTTTTGAAATTTCATATATTATAAATTTATAAATTTGAATAAAATAATAGTCAATACATATAAAATGAAAATAATAAATAATAAAGCCAAAATAATAATGAAATAACGTTATTTATATTGGTAAAAAATAAAAATAAAAAAACAACCCACCTCTTCCTCATCCACCCACCCATCCCAGCCCTATTCCCCTTGCCACAACCCATCTCAGCCACCCAATAGCCCCCAACCTCCGTTGCTGCCATCCCTGGCCTCCTCAGCCAATAACTCAACAACATAATCGACGCCGTAATCGGAGCCGGCGACTTCGGGAACTGGTCCTTACCTTCTCCGAGCTCCAGCTCTTAGAGCCAGTCATCATTTCTCTTTCAACAGGTGTTAGCCTGAACCACGCATAATTACTCCTACTCAAATGATCACTCGAGCAAGTAAGACTGATTCCATATTTTTCTTGCATAGTTGGCAATGTTTAAGGGTCAGTGCACTGGTATCTAAGGTCTGATACCTATTGTTTACTTGAGCAATTCTTCTTGTTTGTTTTCTGTCTGTCTCAACATTCCTCTGAGACGGGGAAGAGAGAGAGAGAGAAATGGACGGGGAGAGAGAGAGGGGAAGAGACGGGAGGAGGGAAGAGATGGGGAGGAGAGAGAAAGATACGAGGAGAAAGAGTTTCTTTTTTTTGCACTTTTCTATTTTGTAACTATTTTAGTTTTTTTATAATAATAAAAAAAATCAAATAGTAAGTAACGTGAACGACACGTCATAGAAGACTTTTTGGACGGAAAAATGGATGAAATTCTAAAAAATTAATAGTAAGAGCTCAATTCGTGATTTTAATTAATTCGGATGTTAAGTTGAAAGAATTTTTAGTTTAGGGAGTTGATTTCCATAAGGATCATAATTCAAGAGGTAAAATGATGAAAATCCTAAATTTTGTAAGTACCTAAGAATATGTAACAATTTTCTCTTAATCCTTCATTTTCTTAAGTAATCAAATGGTAGTTTTGAACTTTATGTAACGATTTAAGCTACGATTTATGATGTTTTTATTATCAAACATGACGTCAAAATCTCATTCAGTAAACTTCACAGTGATGAGATTAGTGAATCAAAAATATCAAAAAAGGAGATATAAATGACATGTGGTGCATTTCATGTAGAGTAAGTTGAATATTCCTTTTCGTAACAATTTCTCGATTAAGTTCAAAAAAGAGTTTTTTTATTTAAACCCTAGATTTTTCTTTGCCCACCCCAATACTTAAATAATTAAGCTCTTAAGTTTTATTATTATGTAAAAAGACAACAACAAAAAAAGTCATCCAACTTAACACTTAATGCTAGTACATCTATACACACACCCCACCACTTTTCATATTAAGTTTTAGAAAAACACAAACTCCTCTACACCCTATTGTCAGATTACTCATCTTCCAATCCAAGAAACCTAATACACTATCATCTTTTCTTCACAAAACCTCCTAGTTCATTCTCAATGTTGCTACACATTTGACAACCGTGTTTTTATATCTTTTTAAGTAATGTGAGGTTGAGGCGAACTTAGAGTGGTGAGGGGCAAGATAGCGGGGTGCAAGGTGTGACGTTGATGAGTTTTGTTTTTCTTTTTCTGTTGGGTGTGTAGTTAGGAGTAGTTTGGGAAAATAATGGGGTTTTCTTAGAAATTGTGAAAATTTGAATTAGAAATTAGGGTGAACTTAGAATATGAGGTGAACAAAGAGAAGTGTGAGGTTTAAATAGTAAAACTCTATAAAATAAAATAAAACTAATTTTAACCTTAATTTATGTTATTTCCACATCATAGTCAAATGTTCAACATGGTAGTTGGTGGGCCCCAGAAATATACCCCACAGCCACAAGGCCACCAGTATATATTATATAGTAAAATCATGGAAAATAAAATAGCTTAACCATCATCAATTTCTCAGGAGGTTCGTTGGGCTTGACTTGAGACTCTTCTCAAGCGTGGACTGTGTCTGTGTTGTCCTTTTGGACCCTGTTTCCCTCCCTATTTATTATATCTCTCTCTTGGAAACTCACACAGTATTAACTGCCATTTATAGATTCTCTCTCTCACATCTCTTGATTGTCAGAACGAAATTTCTCTACAAGTTCTTCATCTTCTTGTTGCTCTAATTTCTTCAGGTTCTCTCTGGTTTTAGGATTCTGTTTGAGGCCTGAGAAAAGGTGGGAAAAGAAAAGAAAAAGACTAGAATCTGATAAATGAAAGAAACTTCATCCAGTTGGGTTTGATTTGATGCAGCAGTCTTGCTTTTTTTGACATGGGTTTTCAGCTTTTCATGCTGTAGAATACAAGGTACAACATAAAGCACATAACTGTTGATTTTTTGTTTATCTCAGCAGCCAAAAAGAAAGTTAACTTGTGTAAGGGTTGATTGTTTCTATTTTCATGTTTGATGCTATTTAGAATGATTTATGACTTATTTTCAATTGCTATGTTCATCATTGTCTTTCTCCTATTTTGATAATTTTCTATCTTTGGTTCAGTCTTTTCAGTCAATGCTTTTACACTGCATAATTATTTTATTTCAAGTATCGAAACATTGATTTTTTAGACTGGCTTTTCATATTGAAACTTTCATTGAAAGCTGTTGTTTTAATCACTAATGCTGTTCTGAATTTTTTTTTTTTTTTGGGGTCAAGTAATGCTGTTCTGATTAAGTCAATCGTTGTGTGCCTCTGGTTTCTAGTGAAGAAAATTTCAATATAAAAGTTGGGCTCTTGCAGGGCCTGGATATCAGCTCTTTCAAGCAGTAAAAGAACCAAATCCTGATACCAAAATATGAATTCCGTGGGGCATAAGTTTGTAAGGTTAGTTTGTTCAAGTCTTGAGTACCAATAAAGTCCAATGTTGTTCGTGTTACTTTTTGTATCTGATCTTATTTTATACAATTGTTTGTGCACCTCTGTGATGTTACAAATTCATGTGACTTTGTGTTACGTTTGTTGTTTTATCCAGGTTTGAAGATTGGCATTCGGATCGATCTGTAAGCTCTGAGCACGAAGCTTCCACTGGTCATGGACTAAATCCAAGAAGAGCTAGACCATCTGTGAATGCAGTTTTTAGGGGTCTCCGGAGAGGATTAGAGAGAGGTTCTGATCGGATTAGAAGCTTGAAAAAACCACTAAGTTCCGCCTCTGTAGGTAACTGGTCAGCAAGGGAGTCAGGCTCTAGGAGGAAAATTCTTGACCCTCAGGGGTCATTTCTTCAGAACTGGAACAAGATATTTGTGATCGCTTGTGTTATAGCTGTGTCCTTGGACCCGTTGTTTCTTTATACTGCAGTGGTCGATGGGAAACATAAGTGCGTGGGTTTGGACGAAAGGTTGCAGATCATTACTTGTGTTCTT